TGCAGTGCCAAAGCAAGCCATCAATGTCCAGCTTCTTCTTGTGGCAATATTATGAATATTCATCATCCTTTTCAATTAAGCATTGATCCACCAAAATGTAGAGACCTAAAGTATAATCTATTCTGCTAGAAAAATGTCACAGTTTTGCACCTTAATTCAGGAAAATTCTATGTGTAGGAAATCGATTATAATCACTCAATGATTAGAGTTATGGATCCTGTTGTTCATCAAGGTAACTGTTCCTCACTACCTCTCTATTCCCTTGGCATTGATAAGGTCTCAAGAGACAGTGATGCATATTACTTTCATCCTGGAGAAGCTCTTCTTTTTTTAAACTGTGGAAAACTAGTAAATGATATTCACCATGTGGATGCTTCCTCTTGCATTTGTGTTACTAATTCATCCAAGTCTAAAAAGGTATTATCATGCTAACATTGGAACAACAACAGCATTTGGATTAGAGAAGTCATGCCGGGTTGAGCTGATGGTTCTTTGTTCTTCAACAGGGATGAGTGATAGCAACATTACCTACCTAGATGTTCCCTATCGGTTATCATATGGACTTGAGCTTTGGTGGTTTCCCTACCCTTCTATATGGATTGTTACATATCGAACATATGTTGCCTGTTGATTAAAGACATGGAAATGCAACTCGCTAATTTTGGATCTCTTTTTTTTTTTTTTCTAATGAACCATATGCAAATTCAATGTCTTGCTTCTCCCTGATTTTGGTTTCTGCTTTCTGGTATATTTTGCAGTTTTGGTCATTCATTACACTTATTTATCCTGCACAGCACTCGTATTAGGTAATTAGAACCTTTCTCTTCTGGAGCTATTGTTTTTCATTTATCCATGTTGCATTGTCTTGAATCTTGAAGCATTAAAAATTCAAGTACATGTGATGAGATTATAAGAAAATAATATTAAGAACTCCAGAAGAAGCATGCAATATTTATCGCATGCTTTATTTGATAACCAATTATATCAATATATATCTTTTTTTACTCACAAGTGTACTTCATAGGGTAGCATTTGCTTTTGCAATTCCAAGCTTCATCCTGTTTTTGTTATATAAATGGCAAAGAAAGCATTTATCTATGTATGATTCTATTGAAGAATTCTTTCAGAGCAACAATAACCTTATGCCAATAAGGTATTCTTACCAAGATATCAAGAAGATGACCAATGGTTTTAAGGAAAAATTGGGGGAAGGAGGTTCCAGCAAGGTTTATAAAGCAAGGCTTAAGAGTGGTGGTCTTGCTGTGGTCAAGATATTGGGCAAATCCAAAGTCACAAGCCAAGATTTTTTCAGTGAAGTAGCAACGATTGGAAGTATTCACCATGTCAATGTGGTAAAACTCATTGGCTTTTGTGCTACGGGTTCAAACCGTGCAGTTGTGTATGACTTCATGCCTAATGGTTCTCTTGATAAATACATTTTTACTAGAGAAGAAAGTGTAACCTTGGGTTGGGAAAAACTTGCAAATTTTCTTGAGGAGTGGCTCGTGGGATTTATTATTTACACCAAGACTGTGATATGCGAATCTTACATTTTGATATCATACATCACAACATTCTTTTAGACAATAACTTCATCCCAAAAATATCCGATTTTGGTCTTGCAAAATTATATCCGACAAAAGATAGCATTTTGTCCTTAATTGCAGCAAGAGAAACACTAGGATACATGGTGCCTGAGTTGGTCTATAGAAACAATGTAGGTGTCTCACAAAAGGCTGATGTCTATAGCTTAATTTAAACCCACATGCAGAGCATCCGAGTCAAATTTACTTTCCTAGATGGGTTTCTCAACAATTGAATAAAGGAATGGAGCTGGAAATAAGAGAAGCCAAGGAAGATGAAAAGAGAATAGCAAAGAAAATGATCATTGTGGCTCGGTGGTGTATACAGGTCAAACCAAGCGACCATCCTTCGATGAACAAAGTGGTGGAGATGCTTGAAGCGGATCTCGAAAGTTTAGAAATGCCTCCTAGGCCATTCCAAATTTATCTATATGCAACTGAAGAAGATGATGCTAAAATGAAAACCAACTCCACAAAGCTTTCTAGTTATTCGTCATATGATGATATGAGACAGAATCAGAATCAGCTAGTTTGATTAAAAATGAAAATTAAGCGGAATGGTAGCAGAGAAGCCTAATTAAGTAGAGTTTTCTTTATTCATGGGTTACACAATAACAGGAGGTATCCATCCCCTTTTGCAACCCACTTCTCACCGCCCCAAGATGTCACAATGGCTCTAAATTTGCATCATGTTTTTTGATGTGTTATTGGTGTTCAAATTTGCAAGAAATGGGCACTTTTCTTTCCAATTGATTATTTAATTGAGTTGCATGCACACAGACACACAAAAAAGAACACTAACAGAAACTAATAAAATGGAATTGGCATATATTACCTAAGGCATTAAGGCATCCATCGCATTGAGAAAAATCAAGCATTGTTGTCATAGGCAGATGCATAATTCAAAGTTGACCTGAGAGATTAAAAAAACATTCAGATGTGATGCAATAGGACTACACTGAATGTGCAATTTGTTAGGGTATTATTAAAATGACTCACTTGGAAAAATCCTGCATTGGCAGAATCAAGAATCAAGCTCCAACCATGGGTGATGGGTGTACCTTCCTAATGCATCAATCAACCTGTCTGGGAAGGAGAAGAATCTGGGAAAACAAAGAAAGCAGTTAGATGTAATTTTGTACGTTTACTTTTTTTGGGTAGTCTAATTCACGGGTGGGGTTATTAATGCTGTTGTAAAATTAGGAGTTTGAAATGCCAGCTAGTCCTTTAAGTACATGGGTCTGGAAATGTCAGAAAAAGTAGAGTTAAGCAGTATAAGTGATGCAGTCATGGGATAACCCTTGAAGGAACTGCTTCCATTAGTAGGAGGGATATATGATAACATGTTAATAGAATGTAGTATCTAGGACAAAATCTGTTACTATGTCTATTAAATGATATGTTATAGTCAATTCTATTTTCAAGGGAGGAAAGAATGAGGGAAAACAAAGATCTCTATGTGAAGATATAAAGCAAGTTGCAAAATCACTGCTCCAACAGCTAGGATGCACATTGCTACAACCAATGCAAACCTCTTCTATCTCAATATAGTGGCAACTGAAATAACAGAAAGTTTCAAATGCCTTAGACCAATAACCCCCTCTTAACAAGTTTTCAAGTAATACAATCACAAACATTCTCACGATGTTATCAATTCAAAGGATCTTTATAAGTCCTAAAGGATGCAAGAAAATCTTAAAAAGTATTGTAAGGATGACCTTAGGACCAACTCACATTGGTTAAGCTAATACACAGTACAAAGAACAAAACTGATGGAAAGTGGCCAAAGTAATGGTCATAATCCAACAGTCCATCAATGCTGTTGCACAAATTAGGGGTTTAAAATGCCAGCTCGTCCTCTAAGTACATGGGTTTGGAAATGTCAGAAAAAGTAGAGTTAAGCAGTGTAGATGATGCAGTCATGGGATAACCCTTGAAAGAATTGCTTACATTATTCGGAGGGATATATTATAAAATGTCAATAGAATGTAGTACTAAGGACAACCAATGTTATTCTATTAAAATGATATATTATAGTCAATTCTATTTTCAAGTGAGGAAAGAATGAGGGAAAACAAAGACCTGTGTGTGAAGATATAAAGCAAGTTTCACAATCACCGCTCAAACAGCTAGGATGCACATTAATGCAACAAGCCATAAGTTGTTGATGATTCGTCCTCTGCACATATCCAGATGATGTGCGAACCTCTATCTTTTTGTATAATTTAAACAACTTGGCCTGGGATGAAGAATGTAAGCTTGGCTGATGATACCAGACAAAAAGTGGATGAGGAAAGTGCAAGAGAAAAAGATCCTTGAGCTTAAGGTTGTTTTCAATAACAACATGGAAAAAAGATAAGCCACTGAATTATACATGAAGTTTAACCATTTGCAAATAGGTTACCGCATTATTACCTATCAAGTATTTGTTGGTCAGCCATCTGTAGGATAGAAAGGAAAAATGTATATGAATATAATCATGAAAAATATTTGTGAACAACATTTTCAGAAATTGTAGCAAAACTTTAAACCTGCTTGGGGAGGCTATTGAAATTGCAAGAAAAAAAGAGGCAAAACATATAATTGAGAGTGCCATATAATGAATGCCTACTGATTGTAAGTTTATGTAAAAATATTAAGAGTTGCTATGACTGCAGACAATAAAAAGTAGAGAAATGGAATCATATGAATATCTTTTCTCTAAAAAGCAAAAAAGCCAAAGACCAGCCTACAGTGATTATTGAAACAAAATTAAACTTAACAACTCAAAGGTCCATTAAACTTTCTAGAGGCAGGACTAAGTTTATTTTACATCTGTATCATAACTAAAAAAACAAAAAGAAAAAAAAAATTGCAGAATTGTATAAAAAAAAAATGTAGTTTTTCTATACACAACCTAAAGTAATATTTAGTTATTTACTCTTCCGTTGTAGATAAAGAGTTATCTACTTCAGTATATTGAAAATTATGCCAAAACCTCCTAGAAGATTAATAAGCCATCTAATTAAATGTAAAAGTAATATAACAAATGATAGGTATTAAGCAGTCTATTAAGAACTCAAATCACAAAAAATAAGCCAATATAACAACCACCACATAATCTCTTAATTGCTAAAAATGGTAATTCCAACTCTTGACATATTTCTTGATTATTTGTTTTGATCTTCATTTTTCCTGGGCCAACCATCACATATACCCAATAAGAACCAAGCAGCAAAGTAAGAACTACAATGCAACTCACTAACTATACAAAGAAAACAGTATTTCTTTATGCTTATTTCTAATTGCCAAAAAAAAGATAAAAAA